TGTCCCCATGGGTGCAGACGGACTCCTGAACCCCACGTCTGTAAGGCCATGGACAGCCCAGTGCACAGGGCTCACCTCCCCGCCCGGGAGCCCTCCGAGCAGCGGTGCACTCAGGCCCAGGCCTCCGCCAACAACCCAAACCAAATAATTACAGAGACTGTACCCGCAAACCCCAGCTCAGCCCCACAACTGTCTGTGCACACAGACCCCCGCCTCAGCACACGGACACCCTGAGAACACCCAGATGCCCAACATACGACAGGGGCCCCGATATACACATGGACACGCCTGCGTATACACAGCGACACCCCACTTACACAGAGGCACCCCCACACCTCTCAACACCCCAAGTCCTCGCTGCCGCAGCCACAGCAGCCGCAGCTGGTACACCGTGGGGTCGTGGGTCAAACATCACTTAGAGGATGATTCGGAATATTCATCAGCCTTTGGGGGGGAAGCAGTGGCCCCCGCAGGGGGCGGGGGAGAAAAACCCAACCCGACCCTAAACTCTTTTCCAGTAAATCGATGTATTTTGCTATAATTTTATTAGGAATATAAAAGGAGCCTTTTCAAAAGTGCTTAGGACGCAAAAAAAAGAGGCGGGCGATGGGAACATTAGTCTGTCTGTGTTAGCAATCCTATAGTCACATTTTATTGTTACTGTCAGGATGCAAAAGCTGTGCTTAAAACAAAATAATACATAATGTATTACTGAGGCATAAACATCAGCGGGCCGCGAGCGGCCGGCGTTTTTATTTTAAAAAGAAGATGCAAAAAAAAAAAAAAAAAATGGAGGGACGGGCGGTGGGGGAGGGGAGGGGCTGGGACCCCAGCTCCGAACTGCGGTGCCAGAGCATCGGGGTGGGGAGAAGGGAGCCTCACCCCCGAACCCCAGAAAACTGGACCCCCGAAGTAACCCCCGGGATCTGAGTTCAGCTTCCTCCTGGGTCCCTGACGGTTTAGGAAGCTCTGGTGGTTTTGTGACACCCCAACTCTGACCCCCCCCCCCCGTGCCTTCCCGGACGCAGGGCCAGCCAGCTGCTCTTGACCCCATTTTGCCAAAATCAGAGAGGGACGGGTCAGCACCTCCAGGTGACAAAGCTGGAACCCAGGCCCGGTGCTGGCTGGGTGCCTCTTCTAGACAGAGCTGCCCAGGGCCGGCCGTCTGCGGGCCCAAAGCTGGCATCCCGTTCTTCCACATCAACAGGTGCGGCCTTCCACCGCCACCCTGCTTTCTCCAGGGCTAGCACCCGCACGGGCGCCCAGCACCCCTCGCCTGGCTCTGCCTTCCTCCTCCTCCCGCCCCTAAGCTCGCTTCTGCAGCAGGACCAGGGCTCCTGCCAGCCCGCTGCTGCCTACGAAGCTGCCTCTGACTCTACCACAAACACCACCTCCCCTCCGAAGGCCTCCCGGGTCACCCAAGCTAAACTAGACCTTTGCCACTTTTTGTCTGTTTTCACGTGCCTGTTCTTTGCCTGTGTGTTCTGAGCTAGGGAACAGGGAGCCCGCCGGTCTTGTTCACTATGGTGTTGCTTGGCACCTGGCATGTGTGTAGTACGTGTGTCCGGCGAGAGGACGAGTGGACGGACAGAAAGCTCTGGTGCTTGGCTGTCATTACTGGCAGCCGCTGCAGGAGCGCAACTGACCCCCAGGGACCGCTGGCTAGGGCATGTCCTGGGCCCCCAGGCACTCAGGACCAGCCCTTCCTCCTATGTTTGGGGACTCTATACCCCACTGGAGCCAGGGCCCCCAATCAGGGCTGGCACATGGAAGCCTGTGAGCTGAGCCCTGCCTGAACACCTGGGTGAGTGACCCCTCCCCCTCGGTGCCGTCTTCCTCTCTCTTTCCTTACCTGGCACCCCCATCAGGCAGCTTCTCTGAGAACTTTCAGCGCACAGCTGTTAGTGGTAGAGTCCTGACTCAGTTTCCTATTAGCTTTGTGACTTTGGATATTGTGCCTTAACTTCTGCGGGCCTCAGTTTCCTCATCTATAAAATGGGGACAGGAATGGTGTCTACTGCTCAGCCTTTGTGCAGCTCTGGAAGGATGTTAGTTAGGAAGCAGAACTCTTCAGGGCTGCTCTGTGGTTCAAGGAGGGGGATAGGGCCAGAATGGAGGTGCTGCCCCCACTCCCAGCCCAGCTTCCTGGGCAGCTTCCCTGCCGTCGGAGGGCACTTGGCGCCACCTAGCGGTGGGCATGGGCATGGGAGGACCTGACCTGGCAGAGTGGGGGCCTGGGGCCAGATAAGGAGGTGAGAGGGGCAGGAGCAAGTTACCACCTGTCCCTCTGGGCGCTGCCGGGGGTCAGTGTGCACCCAAGAGGTCCTCTGCCTCCAGGTAGCCATCCCGAGGACACCCTGAAGCCAGCTAGACTCCCCGGCCACCCCCACTGGCCACAGCACAGACACCAGCTCCCCGCCAGAGTGGGCTGGGCAGGAGGAGAGGTGGGAAAGGAGAGGAAGGGACAGAAAAACAAATCACTGACATTCACAGCATGTTTAAATGGGTGCGGGTGGCCACAGTGCCCAGGAACCCCAAGTTTGGGACAGGTGGGGGAGGGGAGGTTTGTGCCACCCCCTCCCCAGCTGGAGAGTCACCCGCCTGCTGAGGCCTCTGGCTCTGAGCTGCTGTGCTGCCTGCCAGTCATGGGGCTGTGTGACTTCAGACCGGCCACTTAACCTCTCTGTGCACCTGTTTTACTGTTGCCAACATGAGGACTAAGAACCCCTCTCTCCTGGGCTTGTCCCCAGGACTGAAGGAGGCTCAGAAATAGGGGATCGGTGGTGCTTACAGCAGTAGCCTCAGCTCTGAGACCCTCTGCAGCCTGGCAGGGACCCACCCAGCTTTGCACTGTACACGCACACACATGCACATGCACAAAGCACACAGCTATATAGACCTGCCCGGGTGGTCTTGGGCTGGGCAGAGGCTGGCCAGGTGCACAGGGCCATGCCATCTGCTGTGCACAGAGCCCGGGGGCAGGGCTGTGTACCCAGGAGAAGGTGCAGGTTGTCAGGAGCAGGCCATGTGCCTGCAGCTGAGGGTGGGCATGCGGGGCCCTGCAGGGCTGCCATTGCCACCACCTGTACAGGGACATCATTGTAGGGGAACGCCACCCACCCACTCTTCTCAGCCCGGCAGGGTTACCCTAGCTTCTGCCCTTCAGACCCAAGGTTGGGGGGCTGGCCCAGGGTCCCCTTGTGCGGTGTGAACAGCAGAACCCCAGGAAGTTGCACCCTTCCCTTTGGTTCTCAGACCACGGAGGGCTGTGATGGTCCCCTGTGCCGTGGCACCAGCTGTCACGTCCAGGCCTGTCCCCCACGGAGGACCCAGGAGGGAGGCTGGAAGGCCCCCGGGGTGGGTGGCACAGTGCTGGGTTTTGCTTGTCAGCCCTGCTTCTTCATGGCCCGGTAGCCTTGGACAAGGCACACGACCACTGCCCCTCTGTAGGGTGCTGGTGACTGGTGGTCAACTTACACACCGGCTGGACTGGACCAGCTGGTGCTGAGGTGGACGGCCCGCCTGAGGACTGCTACCAGCATAAACGGGAGAGCTGGAGGGGAGCAGTGGCGTTGTGGGTTCTCCTAAGTGTTGTTGTTTGGAGCCATGGCTTCTCCTGGAGGAGCTCGTCACCCTGGCTTCCCTGGTATGAATTCAGCCATCCTCTTCAGAGAAGCTCAGGACCTTGTCACTGACAGTGGCTGTGGCTCACTTTGGGAGCTCTGATTCTTTGAGCATAGCTTGCTGGCTCTGGAGGGGCAGATGTGTGCCGTTCAAGCTCCAGGAGAAGCTGTCACACTGGCTTCCTGATATGAACACGGCTGTTCTTATCGGAGGAGCTCAGGACCTCACTGTCGCTGAGGACGGCTGTGGTGCTTTTCGGGGGAGCCCAGGTCCTCATGCTGAGTGCAGAACCTCAACCTGCTGGCACAGCTCCTTCACCCCACTGGCACAGACTTTCTGGCTTCCACCATTGACCTTTGGGCCTTCTCAGGGCAGATCCGTGAAACAGACTGGCGTGAGTCATTGTCACGGGCTCTAGGTTTTTATCTGGACACACGCAGGACACTGCTGTGGGACCCAGGCCCTTGGCTGAATATTCTGGGTCTTTAGTGTTGTGGGCAGATTCCGTATTTAACTCTGGGTGACCATCATAATCATCATCATGTTATAAATCCTGTGTCCTGTGTGCAACTGTTCTCCTTGTAACCCCTGACCACAGCAGCCTCCTCCCCTGCCCCCTGGCACGTAACAAAGATGCGCACCCCTTTGGGGTTTCCAATGGGAACCGACATCTTCGGCCCCTTGGAGTGTCCATCATGCATGGCAGGTCCTTGGCGACGGTGGCTCTGCAGTGCCGATGGCTGCCTTCGAGGAGTGCAGGCCCCTCTCTGGTCCTCTGCAGAACCCTCTGCACATGCTGCCCTGAGACCTGGTGTAGGGGACATACACAGATGGGGAAACTGAGGCCTGACCCCAGGTTGGTCAGGGTCCAGATCAGGCCTGGTGTCCACTTGGATCTCTTGCTGATCGTTCGTTTCTCTGGCAGAGGGGTGGTGACCGAGCTCAAGGGATGCCCCAGCCCCCGCTTTCCTGGGTGCCCAGCTGCCAGGCCAAAGGCAAAGGCCCTGGAGGAAGAGGTCGTAGACCAGATCACAATAAATAAACCAGCAGGAATCACTGATGTGTACCTGCGGCCAGGGACTAGGGGGCACCCAAGATGCCCAGGAGGTCAGGGTGGGCTTCCCGGAGGGGGAGGTGAAGGTTTCGTGCTCCTTCTCTACCTGAGAAGGTCTTGAAGTGTAAGTGGGGCCTTTCCCAGAAGGATGAAGAAGGGCGGTGCGCTGCTGAAGACAGGGGTGGAGGAATCACCACATCAGGTTGAAAACTTCAAACATGGGGTGTGGGGTGCCCAGGCACCCTTCCCTGAGGTTTGCCAACTGCTGGGAGCAACCTTCAGCAACCACGGGTGCGTGACACAGTGGCCCAAAACTCAGGGGTGTAAAACCACAATTTTATTACTTGCTGCTTGTAATCCCTGCATGTGGGAGGCTGAGGCAGGAAGATCCCAAGTTCAAGGCCAGCCTGAGCTACAGAGTAAGACCCTGTCTCAAAAAAACCCAAAACAATTCATCTTGACTCTCAACTTGATTGCCGAGGTCAGTAAGGAGGTCAGGAAGGCACGCGTCTGGGTGTGTCGTGGGGCTGTGACTCGGGGCCTGGGTCTGGTCCCTGACACCTCCTCTCTGGTGAACACGTCGCTCTCCGCTTCCTGGCTGTCTTGGGGTGAGCGGTTTTCCTCTGCCGTGATGTTTGTGCCCTGGAGTCGGCTGGCCGCGGACTGACGCCTTGGAAACCGGGAGCCTTTGCATCTCGGGTGTCAGGAGTCTTGGCCCAGCCACGGGAAGGCTGACTGGGACCCTCAGACACAGCCTGGATCCACGGTTTAGATGGGGAATGGTGGAGTAGCTCGTCTCCACCATCCCAGGCCTAAATAAACAATCGTGAATTTCTTGTAGGCAACAGGGGGCATGTCTAAGCCTCCCCTACGTTTTCTTTTTTTCTTTCAGTACTAGAATTGAACCTAGGGCCACACACACGCTAGGCAAATGCTCTCCACTGAGCCACATCCTGGCCCTTCTTGTTTTGAGACAGGATCTCCCTAAGTTGTCTAAACTGACCTTGAACTTGCAATCCTCCTGCCTCAGCTTCCTGAGTAGATGGGATCTACAGGTGTGCACCCGGCACCTGCCTCAGCTGCCTGCACTCTGTCTCCTCCTCCCTGCCTCTGAAGCGGGCCCAGGGTGCCTCCTAGCAGCAGGCAACCTTACAGAGGGACCAGCTCTCCTCTCTGGGGTTGGGGCAAGGGTGGCCTATCAACTGCAGGGTCAGGACCGGTGACAGTGTGTGGCAGCCAGGAGGGTCTTGAGGTCCCTCTTGTGGTGTAGCAACCTCCATTTGCAAGGGAGAAACGGAGGCAGGGTTTGACTTCCAGCCCGATGGGCCACGTCCCTCGCTGCCTGCCTGGAAGCCTGTCTCCCTGGCTTCATCCGTATCCCGCACTGAGGCTGGCTGTAATTTGGTTCCCGTGTTGCATGAATCTCTCACATCCCTCTGTTTTCAGTAAAACAGTGATCAATAAGCATTTTTTCGGTGAGTGCCTGCAGAGCTTAGGCTTTTCCTCTGGATCCCTGATGTCCCCCAATTCCCCCAGCACAGAGATGCTGAGGATTCATTGAACTGAAATGACAGAAACAAACCCGGTGAGGTCCCGTCTGCTCCAAAGAGGATGTGACCGCTGTGGCGGAAATGACCTGGAGGACGCTGGGATCCTGGCCTTGCTGGGGGACCCTGCTCCCGACCCCTGGTGCCCTGTGTGAGTCGTGGGGGGAGTAGAGGCGGAGACGCGATTCCTCCTGGCAGTTTAAAGGGTTTTGGCATTTTCACGAAGGCACATGTAATATTTAAATGACTTCACTCGGCACGCCCGCGTGCCTGCTTCGGCTTCCCAGGTGAATTTGTAGGCGCTGAAATGGTCTAATTTCCCACACAAGCCATGTCAAATATAATTTGGGTGCAAAGTTGGTAATTATACGTAACATCAGTCTGATGTTAAAAACACTGAAAAATTTAGCACGGAGAGACATAAGTCTGAGGCCTCGCCAGAAAAAAGGCAGGCCCGAGCCCCGCTGAAGCCAAAGTCTTTAATTAATAATAGCATGTTTTCAGGGACTCAAAGGACGCAGGTCCCCAACTGTCTGAAATTCCTTTGTCTACCAATTACCAGCATCTGGGGGGAGAGAAGCGCAAGGAAGTGGGCGGGGGCACCCTGATCCTGCCTGAGAAGCTCCGGGGTTTAGGCTGGGGCTGCCTGAGCCCACCTGGGGCCGGGTCCCACTGCCGGTGACCTCACCAGGCCTCTCCGTCACTAGAGAGCCATCGTGAGCACTGGGCCAGGGAGTCCAGGCTCATCCCCACTAAGTCTGAGGATGTATTTGAGGGAGGGGTGGAGTCTGGCTTTAGGCCAGAAAGTCCTGGAAGGCTGCAGGGGTCCTCAAGTTGAGCTCATGACCCTCTTCGCTTGCGTGGGGCTTTTTTCTTCTCTTTGCAAATAGTTTAATGTACTCTTTCTGCAAGAATAGGGTCTTGCATCTGCCTTACATACCTTGCATATGGCACATAGTAAGTGCTCAATAAACATTTGTTAAATGAGCCGGGCATGATGGCACATGCCTGTAATCCCAGCCCTTGGGAGACTGAGGCAAGAGGATTGACAGGCATTCAAGGCCAGCCTGGGCTACGTAATGAGTTCAAAACCAACCTGAAGTACATGGTGAGACTCTGCCTGGAAAAAACAAACGGCAAACAAAAATGAGTATTTGTTAAACAAATGTACCTTGTAAACTAAGCTCTTTTGACTCCTCATTGGGACCTTGGTGGAGGGAATGAAACTCACCCACAGCTCTGCAGAACAACACAGAGGACCGATTAAGGAGACAGGCCCCAGGCTTGGACTAGAACTGCAATTCCATGCTTACAAGCACTATGGCTAGGAACAGTGACCAAAACTCTGCCTCAGTTTCCTCATCTGTAAAATGGACTCACCTCCCAAGGGAGACTCTGCATATGCCAAGCTCTTCCAGCATAGTCTGGCCAGCAGGCTGCTGTGGTTTTGCTCAGGAGAGGGAGGAGGTATGGCTTTGCAGAATTGCTCCTTACATGGAGTTTCCAGAGACTGTGTAAGGAGAGAGAGGCAGCCAACAGGAGAAAAGAACCTGAGTTCAGACATAAATTTCCAGGCTGGAGATTTAGGTCAGTGGCACAAGTGCCTGCCTGACAAGTGAGAGGCTGTGAGTTCGATTCCCAGTACCAAAAGAAGAAGAAAAGAAATAGGTTTCCAGTCACGTACCTGTCATCCTTACTACTTGGGAGGCTGAGGCAGGAGGATCACATGTTCAAGACCAATCTGGGCAATTCAGGATGGACCCTGCCTCAAAATAAAAACAAGTTTTTAAAGAACATGGAGACCACTTGAAATTGGGGTATCCGCGGTCCTAAATGAAGGTCCCAGATGTGTCCAGGGTGCAGGACATAGGCAGAGGGCTTGACCAGGCCTAGGATGAGATACTTGGGCTCCAGTGTGGGGGTGCCACTGTGGTTACAGTGTAGGAGCAACGTTTTCCAGGCTCAGATAGCTGCCCAGGAGAATCGCCTGGGGTGCCTTAGAGAAACCCCAATACTCAAGCCCCCGGTATCCACAGCAATCAAATCAGTGTCTCTGGGTATTTTTTAAAGTAGCCTGAGTGACTCTAACGGGCAGCCAGGCTGAACATGCAGGGTCTCACATGGTCCCTGATGTAAACACACCTCATAACACCCAAGCTTGCTGCTCCGCCCGGGTCTGGGGAGGAGCCTGGGAAGAGGCACCCCTCACGCTCCTCCTGAGCCTCCAGCCTCCTGGTGCTCAGCCCCTCTGAGCCTGCAGCAGCCCCTGGTCGGTGGGCACTGTTCCCTGGGTGGCAGGACCCTGCAGGCGGGTAACGGAGGCTAGAGACAGAGCTGCCCAGGGACTGGCCAGGCCACTGCCCTGTGCCACCGCCCCTGGCGCTCAGCAGGGCTCATAGGCCTGCTTTGCCCTGGGACAGGCAGGGATGTGGGACTCCTGGTTTCTAAGAAAGGCAGGTGGCCGGCGACTGGAGATCCAGGTGAGAGGCCAGCTCCTCCAGCCGCCCACCTGTGCAAACCAGGGCAGCATCTCCGCCTTGTGCCTCTGTTTCCTTACTCCTGAAAACAGAGAATAACCTCGCCCCACCTCACCTAGTATCTGGGACTGTGCGCGTGTTTTATTTTTAGATTAAAGTAACTGCTCAAGGCAAGGAATTCAAACAGATCAGAAGCATGTTAGTGAAAGGTCTCTTTTGGAGATACCACGGATAATTGTTTCTTGTGTGTGGCTCTAGACACGCTCTTTGCGTGTACGAACAAATGTCTGGATAGACCTTTTAAAAATAGGATTGCCGGTGTGGTTGCAATTTCTCTTTTACATATAGCCATTTATCATGCACAGGTATGGAAATTCGCGAAGGTCTGTCTCTTTCTGTTTGAAGTTTGTGTGATATTTCACAAACATGAGCCAGGCATGGGGATGCACGCCCGTGATCCTGGCACTCTGGGAGGAGAGGAATAAAAATTCAAGGCCAGCCTGGGCAGTTTAGTCACTTAGTGAAACTGTGTTTTAAAATTTAAAAATAAATTGGGCATGGTGGGGCATGCCCGTCATCCCAGCACTGGGGAGGCTGAGGCAGGAGGATCGTTGCACTCTGAGACCAGCTTGGGCTACAGAGTGAGCTCAGTCAGCCTGAACTGCACAGTGTGACCCTGTCTCAAAAAGACCAAAAAAAAAAAAAAAAGAAAGAAAGAACTATAGCTCAGTGTAAAAGCCCTGAGTTCAACCCTCAGTACTGAAAAATTAAGAAGAAAAAGGAGAGAGAGGACAAGGAAGGAAAAACAGCACAGTAAGGACAGACCACCGTTCATTTCGCCGTCCTCCTGACCACTCTTCAGGCTGTCCTGAGAGAGAGGAGCAGCCGGAACTTCTCCAAGTGCACCCCGCCTCACCCCAGGAGAGGGCATGCATCTCAGCCCCAACTTCCCTCTCATTTTAGGGGGATTTTTGCCACCTGGATCTGCCTTGTGCATGGATCTTAAAGAGAAGGCACAAGTCGGTGACAAACACAGCCGCGTCCCTTTAGCATGGAGGCCACCGTCCTGTGCCCTGCAGCCTCACCCCTGGCATCAGTGCAGACCGTTGCCATGGCGTCCATGGCAGTGACCGAGAGCCCTCACAGGGGGCAGGGACGGCTACGGCGGAAGGGCGCTGGGCTCGCGCCTGAATCTAGATTCTAAAAAGCCTAACAAACATGCAGGAGAAATTTCCTCGAAACCTTGGGTGAGGCAAAGGTTCCTTAGGACCCAAAGCCGCAGGCCATACAAGAAAAAATCTGATGTCTTTAACATCGACCAAATGAAAGGCCTGTTCTACAAAGAAGTGGGAAATACAAGCCACTGATCGGGAGAAAATCCTGGGCTGCATAGTGAGATACTGTCTGAAAAAATAAAAACAAAACAAAACCCCTGACGATATCAAAGATGCTGATCGGATGTTGCTGGTGGAAATACAAAACGGTGTGGCCACCTTGGAAACCATTTGGAAGGGTTTTCTTTTTTTTCTGGTACCAGGAATTGAACTCAGGGCCTTGCACTTGCCGGGCAAGTGCTTATGCTGCTGAACTATTTACCCCCTTTTTTTAAAAAAAATAAAGTTAAGCAAATACTTAACATACTATTCACCGAGCTAGGTGCGGTGGTGCAGGCCTGTCATCCCAGCACTCAGGAGGCTGAAGCAGGAGGATCGCTGCGAGCCCGAGGTCAACCTGGGCTACGTAATGAGTTCAAGTCTAGCCTGGACCACATAACGAGACCTTCTCAAAGATAAAAAGCAAAGCAGAAAAATAATTCACTCCTCCTAGGTAGTTACAGAAGCAAAATGAAGGCATAGGGTCCTTGCAGACATCTGTATGGGCATATTTTATACAACCTTTGTTCCTTGTCACCAAAAATTGGAAACCTTCCGAATGTCCATGAGCAGGTGAAGAATCATTTGGGTTTCTCCGTGCAGCGGAATACCGCTCACCCCCAGAGGTACACTGCCGATCTGTGCAGTATTGCGGGTGAGTCTTGAATGTACAATGCTAACTTAAAGGAACCAGAAAAGCTTGACTGAAATTCCAGAAAAGACAAAATTAGAGGGACAGAAATCAGATGAGCAGCCACCTGGGGAGGCCGAGGAAAAGGCTCCGCAGCACCAGCAGTGTTTAACACCCACTTGTTGGAGTTGGGGTGTGTGTGGGTGTGTGTATGTGAAAGGCACGTGTCTGTGCACAGATCTGCATGTGTGCTGTAGATCTCACTGATATAAAACATGCGAAGCACCTCTATTGAGGTGAAATTCACAGAGCAGGAAACTGAGCATTTTGAGTGTGCGGCATGTGGTCGGAGAGGGGCCCCGGGAGGCGGTGGGAGTTGAGCTCTCTCCCCTCGTGACTGCCTTTTCCACGGCTGGATGCAGCCAGCTGGGCTGTGGGGTAACCCGGAAACCTTAGGAGGAGGGACCTTAGGAACAGGTGGCAAACGGGTATTTTGCACCTGGTTGCTTCTGTCTCTCTGTCTCTGTCTCTGTCTCTGTCTCTGTCTCTGTCTGTGTCTCTGTCTGTGTCTCTGTCTCTGTGTCTCTGTCTCTGTCTGTGTCTCTGTCTCTGTCTCTGTCTCTGTCTGTGTCTGTGTCTCTGTCTCTGTCTCTGGCTCTGTCTCTGTCTGTCTGTGTCTCTGTCTCTGTCTCTGTCTGTGTCTCTGTCTGTGTCTCTGTCTCTGTGTCTCTGTCTCTGTCTGTGTCGCTGTCTCTGTGTCTCTGTCTCTGTCTGTATCTCTGTCTCTGTCTCTGTCTCTGTCTGTGTCTGTGTCTCTGTCTCTGTCTCTGGCTCTGTCTCTGTCTGTCTGTGTCTCTGTCTCTGTCTCTGTCTGTGTCTCTGTCTGTGTCTCTGTCTCTGTGTCTCTGTCTCTGTCTGTGTCTCTGTCTCTGTCTCTGTCTGTGTCTCTGTCTCTGTCTCTGTCTGTGTCTCTGGCTCTCCCTGCATCCCGGGAGCTATAAAACGCACTGTTTTGCTCATCACTCCCTACTAGGAGCGTCCCGTCTCGGGCCCATAAACAGCAGAGCCAAGCGACCATGGACCGAAGCCTCTGACACCCTAAGCTGCCACCAACCACTTCACCTTCACACTGATTTGCGCAGGCATGCGGTCACAGCCCTGAGCGACCATCGCGGCTCCGGTTTCCCAGCATTCTCTCTGCGCTGGGAGAAAGCCCCAAGTCCACCACATCTGGACGCTGTCCTCCTCCCGCAGCCCGTCCCCTCAGGCTGCTATTTTCAAGGACTCCGTGGATTTGCCTATTCTGAAGATTTCGCTTCAGTGGAATTCTAATGACACGTAACCTTGGGTGTCTGGGTTTTTTTTTTTTTTTTTTCTTTCACTTAGCATAATGTTTTCAAGGTTGGCCCAAGTTGTAGCATCTTTGTTCCTGTCTATGACTGAGCAATGTTCCATCATATGACTATCCCACAATTTGTTTATCCGTTCACCTATTGATAGACATTTGGGTTGTTGCCAGCCAACGAATAACCCTTCCATAAACGTTCACCCGCAAGTTTCTGGGTGGACACATTTTCACTTTTATTTTTCTAAGAACATTCTAGTGGGTATGAAGGGATTTCACACTGTGGCTCTGATGCATTTTTACCTTTAATGACCGTTGCCGGACACTGACTGGCTTTTCACGTGCTTGTCAGCCATTTGCACATCTTTGGAGAAATGCCCATTCAACTCTTCTCCCACTGTAAATTGGATCCTGTCTTTTTGTTGTTGTGCTATGGAATTCTTTAGGTATGCTGAACATTTAACCCTTAGTACCTAAATGTTTCGCAAATATTCTGATCCATTCTGGGTTTTGCAGAGACAGAGTCATGCTACACGGTCAGACTCTTGGACTCACTTTTAGCCCAGGCTGGCCTCCAACTTGCCAAAATCCTCCTGCCTCAGCCTTGCGACTACCGGAATTATAGGTGTGTGCCACCACATCCAGCTCCGTTTCATTCTGCAGATTCTTTTTCACATTCTTATTTTTTCTTGTGGTGATACCACTGAGGCTCAAACCCAGCGGTGCTCCTCCACCAAGCCCCATCCTCAGCCTTTTAAAATATTTTTACTCTGACACAGGATCTCACTAAGCTGCCTAAGACTGGCTTCAGACTGTGTGACCCTCCTAACTCAGTCTCCCTAGGAGCTGAGGTTACAGACGTGGGCCACCATGCCTGGCTACCTTTCTTGAAAATGTTCTTCCGTACACAAACAGTTTTAATTCGATGGAGTATAA